CACGTAGCGGTCACGCGCAAAACGCCGAGATTTGCAGGTCCTAGGTTTCCTCTGCGGCCTCCCCGCGCCCCACGATTCGACGACGCATAGTATGATGCGTCACTCCTCTGCTCGCGGGTTCCATAATTCTGTCGACCATAAAATGCATGAGTGTGGATGTCATGACAATGGACACCCTAACACTCCTATCATTGATTTACAAGTGCGCTTAAAATGTTTGAAACATGTTCTGAGCATGTTCAAACGAGCTTTTTGCACGTTTAAGACATGTATAAAACATGTTTCAGACATCGGGAACATATTTGGCAGCACGCTTCCTCTCTATTGACCGTCGTCCACACATGCACTCTGCAACGGTAATGTCGAATAGGCGCAGGCACTTCTTAAACGACATGAGGCATTCAATCACAAATTCGTCATTGCCCCAAATTTCTGCCACCCCGCAGCTATGCGATTGGCTACCTCCTCCCCAGTCGAGTCCACCAGCGACGGCGTCGTGCCAAGCAGCTTCAAGGTTTCTCCTGGCGGCAGCACCTCTATAAAAAACCTTCAGCAACTCGCATTTGTCCTCGTACCTGCGGGTACCAGCGAGGGCACTTCCGACAAGACGGCGCCCCTGCAACCTTGCCGACCTGCACAACTCCACAGGCCCATCAGCCGACCACCCCACCCAACCTCTCCGAGAAGACTGGCGCCCCCAACGGCTCGATTCACAACGCGGCGAGGGACCTCAGGCCATGATAGAACCTGAGCAGCGGAAGCTCACCAGTGCGTCATCCCAACCGACCTACCAATCTTGCTCCCAGACAAAAGTGGCCGACCTCTCCCGCGAGAGCATAGATCTCTCAGCCCCTGGCGAAGGCACACCCCCATGTTTGCGAGCATTTTCGAGACGGCAACATCATGCCCGGACACATACGGCGGCTACAACGGCAACAAGCTACGCTACGCAGTGGGTCTCTAAAAAACCCGCCGCGGCGTTCACCCACGCACGCTACTTGCCCGACGGAATACGAAAGTGGTCGCCGCATCGACCAGTGGATCGAGCTCTCTCATGCACAGCCCTGGCAGGGGCCTCGAGCACCAACAGCGAGCTGGGGCCTCGGAGATAGCCACGCGAAGAGCCTCCGTTCCACTGGTTTTGAGAGGGCGCACCTAAACCTCATTCCGTCCTGAAATACCCCCACCTGCATCGCGCCCCCCCCCACACACCCCTACCCCACACCACCCCACCCCGCCGCTCGCCCCGCGAACCTTCGTCGCCCTCTCTCGCGGGGGGGGGGGGGGCGGGGCCAGGGTTCGCACGTCACGCGGCGGGGGGCGGGCCACGAGCGCCCGCTGCCCCCCCCGGCGTTGGCCTGGGAGGCGGAAGCGACCAGAGCCGCAGACGCCAGCGCCCGTCATCGCGTCGGCAAATTCGGCGCCTCTCGTTTGCCTTCGCCGAGGTGGCGCCGACGATCTCAGGCACAGGTCACCGCCTATGCTGTCGCGGCGCCCCCACCCTTCTGCTGGCCTCCTCGGGCGTCGCCTTCCAGCGGTCAGGCACAGACCTCTCTCGCACCGCCCATCTTCCCCACCCTGCACAGGGTGGAGCCACGGCCTCTGCACTGCTCGCGCCTGCAGCGGCTCCCACAGCCACGGCTGGGGATGCATGGCCAGGGGCTTTCGCCGACGCGGCGATCACCCATTGTCGCCCCCGCCCACCCACTGCGCTGACTTACAGCGCCCCGTCCGCCCATCGCTTACAGCCCGAGCCGCCTCGGCGAACGACGGGAGGATCAGGGGCCGGAGCGGGTCTGGACATGGGCGGGGGGGGGCGCTTATCCTGGGGAAGACCTACAGTGGCCGCCGCCGCGGAGAGCGCGGACCCCCTCCCCCCACGCTCGGAGGGGGCCCCCCGGGCGGCTACCGGCCCAGCGCTGCGCGAGCCCTGCGCCTGCTTCGCGGGCGAGGGCCCCCGCCGCAGGATCGCAGGGCGCCTCTTTGGAGGGGGGCCCTGCGGGCAGGGGGAGAGGCCTCAGCGCCTGCCACCTCGGCGAGCACAGCCCCAGCGCCGCTGCCGCCGCAGCCGCCACGACCTGAGAGCCTCTCCTGCTGCCTCACCGCAACTTGTTTCACGACGCTCCCCCACGCCTCGCCGCTTTTCTGGCCTCGGCCCTGCTCTACAGCGAAGCGAAGCGAAGCGAAGCGAAGCCCGCGTGCAAGAGTCCACGCGAGGGGACTAGGCGGGGTGGGGGCCGGAGCGCCCCAGGAAGCATTACAGATGCATTGTAGCCGGAGCGGCCGGAGCGCCCCAGGAATCTCTACAGCAGGGGGGCAGTCGATGTTCCCCGGCGCCCCTTCCAACTGCCACTCTGCGACTCTCGCCCTGCAAGCCGCCGCCCACGCGTTGCAAACCGCGCCGCTCAACGCAGCGAGGGGCGGATCATCGGCGGTTGGAGCGGGCCGCTAACGCGGCCGCCGCCCTGGGAAACGCAAACCCCCCCCGCGCCTGGTGGAACCCCTACGGAGGCCGCCAGATCACCGTTCGAACACCCTACGCCTGCCTGGCAAGTGAGGGTTCCCGTCGTTGGACCGGGCCCTCCCCCTTCGGGCTTCCCATGGGTAGGGGGGCCAGCCTCTGCGACCTCCCACCTGGCGAGCGCAGCTGTCACGCGCCGTGCTCACCCAACGCAACTGACGGCATCGTCATCACTTGCCCCCGCCGCAGTACCGCCAGGAATCCTTCCCCTCATATACCCTGTTGTGCGATTATCATGCCACCCCCGTTCCCCCCCTTTCCCCCTCGTAACTTTTGTTTCTTTACCTGTGCAACTATTACTGCACCCCCACCGCGGATCACGAGGCAACCAGTTGATGACCCCCCACAAAAAGACAATTCGGCCTGGAGGGGAGAGGATGGCCACGCCAGGCTGATTTCACGGCCGACACAGAGAGAGAGGAAGAGAGAGAGAGAGAGAGACAGAGACAGAGAGACAGAGAGAGAGAGAGATCGCCTCGGAGAGGTCAGAAGGCGAACGCACCAAATGCTTGGTATTGAAAAAGTTTATGCAATCGAAATCGAACTCGCAGCCTCTTTAGCCTTGATCCTTGCCACAAGCGCTGCCATCATCTGCTCATGCTGGGTGGCTTCCTGGCCTCTGCAAAAACTTCGGGGGGCCGTGAAAACAAAAGAAATGGAGCGAGCACTGGCCAAACTCACATCAAGCCGAAAAGCATGAAGAGATTTATCGATCTGCTCTCCCATGCTTGGCTTCGGCCCTAAACCGCAACGAAAGAGTCTCGAAACCGCAGCTCCTTTCTTGGCCGGTTGCCGGCACAACTTGCCTAACTTCACCGCCCTCCCCTGCGACCAACCCCCGCCCTTGAGACAGAGGAGCTGTCGCTTTCTAAACTCAGTCGCACCCTCGGATCCGACAGGCCCGCCACGGGCCCCACAAATCCTTTTGAAGGACCTGGCCTAGCACGGCGACGAGAGCATGACCTTTGGGGTCTTCGAGCAAGTGCTTAATATCATGTGGGGTGCCTTGGCAACCGCCCTGTGGACGGCGCTATGACTCTGACGCAGTCAAACACTGCACGCGCTGCATGCCAAACTCTGCGCGGTGCCGCCGATGCCAATCCACCTTACGTCTAGACTGGACAGCTCCACGAGCCCATCTCATCTCATTATTGAAGAGGTAAGGTAGCATAGGCAACGCGGAAAAGTGCAGCCGTCCTCGTCTGAGCTAGTTCGACTGCTGCCAAGAAACCTGGATCAGCTATGGGATGGCCAGGCAAGGCAATTCTGGCATGGTTGTCAACTATCGTGTTAATATGGCCGAAGCGGTACTCATCACCTGTGAGCTGAGCCAACTCTTCATCGCCTCTAAAAACGTTGCCCCTGAAGGCACGAACGCTGACTTTCGGACCCCAGCGGATTTGCTCCTTGGAAGCAACTGCCGGAAACGAGTCCCCTGAACGTGCTGGATCACACTCATGCAGTCGAGGCCTAACTTGGAGGGCCTCTCTGCAGTTTGGCCACAGGGAGCGGCTGCAACGTGCTCAGTTGCGGCAAGGGGGCTGGGCAAAGATCCCAAGATCACCCCTCGTGCAACTGCAGACAAATCACTCGACTGGGGCGACGAGAGAGCAATGGCGCACGCCGCGCGCCGCAGGGTCTGCCGCCAGCTCGGATGGGGTATCTCCTGGAATGAGCGACGCGAAATTGAGCACGCAGAGACAACAGACCAGCCAGCTCGACGACGACAGAGAACAGCACGTGCCAGGGGCCCTCGGGAACGGTTCCACTCGATGGCCTCGCTGGCCTTGGCTGGTTCCCGGAGAGACACCAGGCTGGCGAAACTTATCAACGCACGCTCAGGTTCAACACAGGCAATACATACCGTTCTACCCCATTGCAGCACAGGCCCCAAGGTCGCACGCACATCCAAGTCTCCAAAGAGAACGCGTTTGGCACTAGCAGAGGTGCTACCGTGCATGGGCGCTTGGCGTCGGGATTAGGTTCTGCGTATCGCTCCAAGCTCAGCCTCAGAAAAACCAAGGACCTCGGACCCATAGGACGACGCAAGGGCAACTCACGTACGCAGAATCCCACCCAAGCCAACCTTGGGTTCCTCCCGAACTGCCTTCGAGGAGTAGGAGGAGGAGAAGGAGGAGGAAATGGAGGAGGAAATGAAGGAGGAGATGAACCACACATTTCGCGAATGCGAGATTCGAGACCCGGAGGGGCAGGTCCCTCGGATCGTATACGCTGTTGGGGCGCGACACGGTTCCCTCGTCCTCCGCCGATCGGCGGGCGCTGGGGCTGCGGCCCATCGCCCAAATGTCCGACGGCCACGCGTACGGTTTCTCCTGCGGCGCGGAAGTCCCGTCGCTCCCCCCCACAGATAGACAGGTCCTACCACCCCCTCCCTCTTCCCCCCTCCGACCTCAGTCCTCTCCTCCTCCTCCTTCTCCTCCTCCTCCTGCTCCTCCTTGACTGTTTCTTATTTTCGTTA